TGTGTGTATATATATATATATTTAAGGTAGTTGTACTACTGATTTCTCTTGAGTCCATTGAAGAGAAAGATTTGTATTGGTGTTGTTCAGACAATTGAATGCAGATGTCCTTGTGCTCTGGGTGAATGATTTGGGGATGACAGAGTGGGATGTGTGTACCATTGTTGCTCCCTGATTTTTAAATTTTGTTTTGTTTCTTTTTTCTTTTCTTTTTGAAATAAAATAGACTTGGAAAAAAAAAAAAAAAGAATAGCTTACCCCTGCTTTTCTACAGGTTCTTGTTGCACGGAGTATTGTTTTCCATCTTTCAGTTTGTGAATTTCCTTTTGAGGTAAATGTGTTTCATATTGTTGGATGCAGCATGTTGTTGGATGTTGCTTCTTGCAGTTTATTGTTGGATGTTGCTTCTTGATCCTTTCTGCAGTCTGTTTCTTTGGATGGTGAATTGAGACCATTAACATTGATGGTTATAACTGATATGTATTGACTTATCCTTGTCATATTATTTTCCTGTTATTTGTTCCCCATTTCTCCCTTTCTGTTTAATTGCCTGGCCTGGTGGATTCATTTTATTGGGGGTTCATGGAGTTGTAGTCCTTGTTATCTCTTTGAAGAATATCCTTCAGAATATTTTGGCGTGCTCATTTGGTGTTCATGAACTTCCTCAAGCCTCAGGTGTTCTTTGTCACGGAAGTATCTTAATCAATTTTGAAAGATAGTTTTAAGAGGTGATTCAATCTGGGTTGGAAGTAGAACTTGAAATAATTCACTCCAACCTGTCCTTGACTTGAGGGTTTATATTAAGAAGTCAGCTGTGATTCTGATGGGCTTTCCTGATAGGTGATTTATGTCTTTTCTCCAATAGCTTTTAATATTCTATTGTTGTGTTGAAGTTCTGGAATCTTAATTGTTATATGCCTTGGTGTAGATTTTTTTGATCATGGCTAATTGGAGTTATATATGCCTCATTTATACATATGTCAAATTCTTTTTTCCTGCCAAGGAAGTTTTCTGCCATGATGTCTGTGAATATTTTTTTTTTAAATATCATTTGTGTAATCTGCTTTTTCTTTCCTTCCTGTCAATCTTATTTTATTCTTTGTATCATCTAGCAATTGCTGGATTGAGTTCTTATGATCCCTTGCTATTTTTTTTTTTTTTTGTTTTGTTTTGTACTGGGGATCAAATCCCTTGCAATTTTTTTTTTTTATTGGTACCAGGGATCAAACTCACGACCACTTGCTTGCAAGGCAGGTTCTTATGCCACTGAGCTAAATCCCCAGCACCCCCTTGCTATTTTTAAGAAAAAAATTTTTTTTTCATGATTGCTAACCTCAAGCCTGTCTTCTGTGTTTGAGACTCTGTCCTCACATTCATATATTTTTCTATGGATATTTTCAATGGAATTTTTAATTTCCTGGTATTTTATGGATTCCATTTCTTTCCTGTTTTGGATATTAATGGTTGCTATCATTTCCCAAAGCTCCTCTATTTTTAAAATCTGTATCTGTGCTAGAGTCACTAAGCAAGTTTTTAATTGTCACTGTCTCTGTAGTTATCTGAGAAATTGTTTATGATTTGATTTTTTTCTAGAATCTCATCCATTTGCTTTGTTTCTACTTCAGAGAGGCCAGGTTGGTTGCTTTTCAGTTGTTCCACTTCATTGTTTGTCTTTGGTGACATGGACATCTTGTTTATGTATTTTCTCATTTTGTATTGTTTTGTTTGTTTTAGTTTAATTCCTGGGTTGAGCCTTATAAATTGCCTATGGTGAGTAGCTTTATTGCTACTCTTTAGAACCCTTAGGAAATGACTGCTTCTCAGAGATGTCTTCCGGGTATAGCTGGCTTTTGAGTTTTGACTATGTTGCAGAATCCTGCTTCTTCACTTTATTCTGTATAAGAAGTTGCTGCCTCCTTGACCTAACGCATGTTTCTTTGGTACTGGCCCTCATTATTTTCTGTGACCCTTAAGCAATCTTAGTCTTGATATATGAGGAAGAACAATTAGTTAGAACATTTATATGACTAGCTAAAGTGTTACAATTGGCAGTAACCATTGTATCAAACACAGTCTAGAAAAGAACAAACTGAGGCAACCATTAATTTGCCACCTTTAACAAACCAGAAAATTGTATGCAGCAAATAAGCCCTCGATACTCTCAGGGGAGAAATTTTAAAAAGAATTGGGGAAAATTAAGAGAAATAGAAGAGATTAGAAACAAGGCTGGAGGACAAAGGAGGACCACACAACTTTGGGAAACTAATGCAGAAGATAGGAAGCAAAGCAAAAAGGAGGAAATCAAAGGAAAAACAGCAGAACCACAACCACAATTAAACTAGAAACCATGTTCATACTCATATAAAAGCAATATCAAATAATGAAGAAAAATGCAATAGAGGAAAAAATGTGTACTTCAAGGTTTGTCTCTCCTATCACTGGTAGAGAATGTCTTGAGACAGATTCTAGATCTATGTTTGTTTATGCCAGTAAGCCCACAGTAGCTTTACAGTGGTGGATAATCTCAGTGAGGCTGCACTTTTATTTACCATGAAGTTCAGGCTGGATTCTGGCTGTGAGGCTAGAACCAGACTTGTTTCGCTTGGAGCAGTCAGCACACCTTGGGCTTGAAGTCAGGTTGGTCCTTCTTCAGATGGCTCCTGGCCAAGTGCTCAACCTACAAGACAACCAAATCTCCAGCTAGTGCATTCTGGGGCATCTGTTCCTCCATTGTACTGCTGCATCTCGCCATGGAGGTCTCTGCGGTTGCCACCAATCACTGTGTGTCTGCAGGTTTGTACTCTACCCTTGCAGTGAATCATGACTCAGAGAAATAGCTACTGCCATCTCTTGCTTGTTTTTCATTGAAGTTCTTCTATTCACTCTCCTCAGGAGCTTCAGCGCTCTCTTCAGATCCTTCATGGGTTTGAGGGACCCTTCTCTTCTCTTTCTTCTATTCCTCTTGTTGCTATATCCTAGTGTCTGGACTCCAAATCATAGAGAGGCTGTTTCTCTGCATTTTACCACTCCACCATCTTCCTGAAGCCTATAAACTGTTTAAACTATATTCTTCATCTTAAAACTTTTTTTGAGACAGCGTCTTGCCCTTTGTAGTTTAGGTGGGTCTTAGGTGGGTCTTACTCACTATGTAACCAAACTGGCTTTAAATTCATGGTATTCATTCTGCCTCAACCTCCTAGGATTACAGATGTGTGCCGGGCTAAAACTTATTAGAAGCAATGCCAGGAGTTTAATTTTCTGCTGTTTACTACTATATCACCTCATCCTTGTTTTTGTTTTACATGTGTAATTTTTGTTCTCCTTGCTAATATTTGACTTATAATGAATGTATATAGTATATATGACATAGCTACAGGATAAATCACTGCAATAAAAACTGTAGTTTTTGGCAGAGTGAAAATAGCATTGATACAGATTAATTGTTAGGTAGGAGGTCTTCCCAGATTGGTGAAGAAATTATAATGTGGTTGCTGGAGTGTCATAAATAACAGAAAGTATAAAAATATTGTAAAATTAGCAATAATGTACTTTTCTGAATTAGACATTATTGCTAATATGAAATATGGAGTACTTGTTCATGAGTAAGTTTAAAGCTTCACTTGTAATAAGTGATATGTATATTAAAATATTTACTATATTCAAGGTGTTAATAGTATTTATAGTAGACTTTTATTTTTTAGAAAGTCCAGTTTGTGGGGGTGGGAGAAAGGAAAAATGAAGGAAGGGAAAAGAAAATAAATAAATAAAAAGAAAATAGTTAAATAGCTAACATTATACTACTAGTTCATTGAAAAGATTGGTTCTTATATTGATTGATTAATTTTGCATGCCTATATTTTGTAATCTGAGCAACTAGTTTGAAGATAATAATATGCAATATATTATCCACTGCTAATTTTTTATTATCCTGTTTTGAAACTCTATCACTGTTTTTATTTTTGTTTAATTTTCTCTCTTTAAAATAAAAAAAAAAAAAATGGAAAAAGAAATAGAGTTTTCGTATTTAGTGTGGACTGGCCTGAAACTTGTGACTATCTTCCTGCCTCAGCCTCCAGAATACTAGGATTACAGGTGTGCACTGCTATGCCTGGCTTTGTTGTATTCTTTAATTGGTTTTGTCTGTTTAATATAGTTAATTAGTTTCATCTACTCAAAGATTCTTCTTTGGACAGTAAGAGTCATTTCTGTGTTTTATTTTTTGTTTTTGTTTTTGAGGTAGGGAGTTACTATGTAGTTCAAGCTGGCCTTCAACTCACTGTGTAGCTTAGGCTGGCCTCAAACTCAAAGCAGTCCTCCTGCCTCAACTTCCTGGGATTACAGGTGTGTGCTACCACAGCTCATGAATGTGGTTTTGTTTTATGAAGCAAAGTCTCTAGTTTTCTGATTATTCAATTTTTTAATCTTATTCAGAGGCTTGGCCCATATTATTAATTTATGATTTAGATAGAAACATTGGCACACAACTGCAGTCACCGCTACTAGTCAGGTAGAGATGGGATTTCTTGAGCCTAGGAATTTAAGTTCTTTTGGGCAAGATAGTTGAGACCCTGTTTTTAGTCAATTTAAATCAATCTATTTAACAGAATACAAATATGAGATAATCTTGACATGCTGGGTTTTTTCAAATATAATTCATATTAAGAGTCATAGAATATTAGGAAAAACTTAGAAAGGCTGAGTGCTTTAAAGACTTCTAATTCAGCTGTGAGTCCTGATGATCATAATTTATAGTAGTTTTATAAAGTGAATTTTGTGCTGTGCAGGTCTAAGATCGTTGACATGGTAATTAAGCAAAGCTAGGAAAAAATTGAGTATCCTGGCTTAAATAATACCTGTGAGGAGATAGATTTTATTTAAATGTAATGAGATTGACTAATCTCAAATTATAATTTGGGATCATTTAAACTAGAGTAATCTGTTCTAACATTTTTGTGTTTAGATATTCCCTTCACCTTAAGTGTTCTTACTCTCTTCTTTAGGATATGGACTACCAGATGATATTGTAATAGAAAAGAAGGGTAAAGGAGACACTTTTGTGGATTGCACAGGTGTGGATATTAAAATTTCAAGCATAAAATTTGTTCAGCATGATGCTGTAGAAGGAATCTTAAGTAAGTATCTCAGTGTTTGGTGTACTATTTGATCTTTGCTTTGAAAGAAAACTACTTTCTATGGAAAACCGAATGTAATGAAATACCAATCTTGAGTATAAAAGGCTGATTATTTATGTGTGTAGCAGTAATGATTTAGGGAGCCTGCTTCAAGGTGAGAAATAGGTTAATCTGTGCTTGAAACTTTGTTAAGTAAATGCAGAGCATAATACTAATTTTGACGTAAATACTGGCAACCCTACTAGCATTTGTTGTTTTGGGGGTGCTTGAAAATAGCCATTCTTACTGGAGTATGGTGGGTTCTTGGTGCTTGTTTGATTTGCATTTCTCTAATGGCCAAAAATGCGCAATAGTTTTTCATATACTTAGCGACCACTTGTACTTTTTCTGAGAAGGGGCCGTTCATTTCAGTTGCCCATTTTTTGATTGGATCTTTTATTTTTGGATGTTTATTTTTCAGATTTTTAATATATTCTAGATGTTCTATATCTGAGTAGTAAGTTGCAATTTTACCCATTCTGTAGGCAGTCTTCACTCTTTCATTGTTTTCATTGCTGTGCAAAAGCTGTTTATTTGAACCAAGAGATTGAGGTGGAGAGAAGAGGGTGCAAAGAGTGAAGATGTGATATGTACATGTACCGACTTTTTACAAGGAATGCAAATTACTATGTACCATAAACATGTACTCATAACATTTAATTTGATATAAACCCCATATGGATTTAGATTAATTCTTCAATGTATTGATAACAAATTTTCCCTACACCATTTGTTAAAGAAGGCATCTTTGCTCCAGTGTGTATTATAGGCTTCTTTTTCAAAAACCACATGGTTGAAGGTGCTTGTGTGTTTCTTCATCCTGTTTTATTCTGTTGGTTAATGTGTCTGTTTTAGTGCTGTATTTATTAGTGTAGTTTTGTAGTATAATTTGAAGTCTGGAAATGTAATGTCTTCTGTCTTACTCTTGTTCTTAGGATTCATTTGGATATACTTGGTCTCTTATTGTTCCATATACATTTTATTTTATTTTTTAAATTTTATTTTAGAATAAAACCAAGCAAAATAAAATAGAATAAAGCCAGTCAAAATAAGATAATGTAAGTGACACAGGATTTCAAAACAAGATAATAGGAAATCCACAATGGTTACCATAGTGCCTTTTTTCTTCAAAATGGCTGCCTATACCTTCAGACATAGTAAAAGCAAACAAAACAGAACAGAACCAATAGAAACTAAACAATGAATGCAATATAGAACTTCAAAACATGATAATAGTAAATCCAAAATGGCTACTATAATATATCTTGTTATCTTTGAAATAGTTGTCCATGCTATCAGATATAATAAACTCAAACGAGGTAAAAGACTAAAAATGAACTAAACAAAACAATGAGAATGATACAGGATTTCAAACAAGATAATAGAGAACCAACAGTAGCTACAACCTTCAGAAGATGGTATATATGCTACATTGCATATTGTTATCCTCTTAATAGATGATCAGACAACCAGCTTTAGGCCTGCAAGGTTAGTGAAACACTAAACACTACGGGCATTAAGTTGTGTTTTACCTCATTAGCTATCATCACAGCCTGTTGGTCTAGATCAGCTGATTGCTTAATGGGGGCGGGATGGAGAACATTGCCTCTTCTTGTCTCCCTGCCTGTGCACCAGAAGAGGCTGGTGTCTGGCCCTTCCCTAGTCAGCCCACACATGGCGCTGACCCATAGGATGTCTTCTGTTCCATATAAATTTTAGAATTGTTATTTCTAGTTCTGTTTAAAAAAAAAAAAAAAAAACCTGATGGTAGTTTGATTATAAATGGGAAGAGGAAGAAGGATTGACATGAGAGAAAGGGAATAGGAAATAGTTAAGATATAATATGTACAGTTACAAATTCTCTACAATGAATGTGATCACTATGTATGGCAAATACGTACTAGTAAAGAAGCAAACAAACAGGGCCAGTGATTTAGCTCAGTGACACAAGCGCCTGCCAGTCAAGCGCAAGGTCATGAGTTTGATTCCCACTACCAAAAGAAGGAAAGAAACAAACAAAAAACAAAAATCCAATTTGAAAATTGCCTTTTGTTCCGCATGCTGAAGACTAATACTAGACTAATGTCTATCACTGTGCACTACTGTCCAAGTGGATCAAAAATCTAAATATTAAAACAGAAACACTACATCTACTGTAAGACTAAATAGATAGAAATCTAGAAGACATGGTAGTCAGAGAGTTCACGAACAAAAACCAAACTGCACGAGAAATACTTCAAAGAATCAATAAGTGGAAGCTCATCTTATTAAACAGTTTCTGCACATCAAAATAAATCAACAAAGTTAAACGAAAACCCACAAAATGGGAAAAATTTTTAGCCAAGTGTGCCTCAGACACAGGATATCTATCTAGAACATATAAAGAATTGAAAAAAAAGTCAGACCACCCTTCCAAATTCAAAGACCCAATCCAGAAATAGGCCCTTGAGATGAATACATAGTTTTCTGATGAAGAAATCCAAATGGTAAATATATGAAAAAATGTTCAGCATCATCAATCATCCTAGAAATGCAAATTAAAACAACACTGAGATTATATCTTACTCCAGAAATAGCTGTCATCAAGAAATCAACCTATAACGAATGCTGCCAAGGTTGTGGGGAGAAAGGAGCCCTTCTCTACTGTTGATTGTAAAATGATACAACTACTGTGGAGGTTTGCAGGTAGATTTTATTGCATAGACTTTGTTGTTAGTGTGGAGATCTTTTTAGTAAGTAGAAGTTTTTCAGTGATGTATTCTAGGTATGGCTCACTGTAGGCTTTTTCTCTGTCATGATCAAACACATCTGTTATTTGGGAAGGGGAAGATGCAGTGTAATTGTGTAGCACTCACTTATCTAGAAATGGACTGCAGTATTGTCAATGATTTAAAGACAATTCAGATATTGGCATAGAGAGAAAACCAAGTATTAGCAAATATTTCACCCTGGCAATAACAACAAACTCAGCGACAATTATAGCATTAAAGACAAACTAAATATTGACATACCGAAAGAACCAATAATGTACCACCCTTAATCATAAAATGAGAAGTATAACTGTAGTAAAAACAAAGAAAACCAAATATTGATGTACAGTAATTACTAAATGCAACAACTGTACCTCCATTAAGAGTAGGGAAGAATTTAATAGTGCTGGCATAGATTTAACCAGAGATTAACTACAATTAACAACAAACTACAATGCTTAATACTAGTAAAGACAAAATGAGCGGGGCTGGGGATATAGCTCAGTGGCACAGTCTCTGCCTGACAAGCACAGTCTCTGCCTGACAAGCTCTGTTTGATTCTCAGTACCAAAAAGAAAGAAAGGGAAAAAAAAAAAAAAAAAAAAAAACGATGGAATGACTGATGAACAGGAGAATGAGTCAAGTAAACTTGAAATAATAAGCAGTGAAAGATGAGGAGAGAAAAGTAATAAAGGATCTTACTCATAAGTAAATAGAAATTTATACATTAAAGTAACAGAAGAACAAGAGAAAAAAACAGCAAAGGAAAAAATCAGGAAAAGAAAAAATTACATAAAAAAAGAAGGGAAAGAAACAATTCCCCAACTCCATCTCATGAAAACAAAATGAGTACAAAAATTTTTTCTCTGTATTTTTGATTGGTCTTTTTTAGCAGATTCTGTAGTCTTGAAATGCAGCTACACCTAGTTTTTTGGCCTGTGGGTTTGTGAGGAGAACTCTGTGCTCCAGAAGCCCCCTCTGTACATCACCATTTATGGCAGCCATCCAAGCTGAGGCACATCCTCACTCATCTTGGTGGTAGGGAATATAGGGAAATCAGTCAGTACACTTATCTCTGTGATGGATGTAAGCAGCCAGGCAGGGGTTCAAGCAGACCACTGAACACCTGCTGGTGTTTTCAGGTGCAGGCCTCTGGCCTGTGCTTAAACCTCTCAGGGGTTTATATTTAGCCCATACCCTTTCTGTTAGTGACTTGTGGCTTTTACCTAGTCATTGTGGTAGGGTAATGAAACCCTAAAGTGAGGTTGTTATGTAGTTGTTCTGTGGTTCCGTCTTTTTTTTTTGTCTTTTTCCTTTTTATCGGTACCAGGGATCCAACTCACGACTGCCTGCTTTCAAAGCAGGCACTTATGCCGCTGAACTAAATCCCCAGCTCCCCTGTGGTTCCATCTTAAACACTTAGTCCCTTCCCAAAATGACTTGTGATTAAACACTCTTACAAATGGCAGATATTGCACTGGATTTCTTCTCCAGCTCTAGCCTGGTCTTTGAAAAAGTTTCTTTTGGAATAAAACCACGTGCTGTTTTTGCAGTATATAGTAGCTGTGGGATTATTAGGCTAGTGCTACTGCCCTAGTCTGTTGTTTCTCCATGGACCTGCTGATCTTCTAGGATTACCCTTTCTTCCCAGGCGTTAGCCTCATCCACCATCTGATTGGTTGGTCATTTGGTGCCTCTTCTGTCCTGTGTTGAGGTGAAACAAAATGCAGAGTGGGCTCAAGAGTTGGCTGCAGAATTCGTTTGTAGAGTTGGCCTGGGGCAAATGAAGTTCTGGTGGGTTTCTTGTACTCTGAGTCCCTGAGCCACCTCTTGTGTGGCTGAGGTTTCCTTTAGGTGCTGTGGTCTGCTTTCTCTCTTCCTGCTCTCTTGTTTTCTATGTGTGATTTAAGGATAAGATGTGTCTCTTACATGCAATATAAAGTTACATTTTGGTTTTGGACCCATTCTGTCAATCTGTGGCTTGATTTTGCAGTTAAGACTATTGACATTGAGATTTATTGCTAATATATATTGACTGATTCCTTTCTTTCTTTTTTCTTTTTTCCTGTTGCTGATGCTTTTATTTTGCTTTTATTTAACTGCTCATTATTCTTGATGTAAGTATTCTTTTAGGCTCTTTGGTCATACTGGTATCATTGCCAATGTCTAGGATTTGAATACTTTTTGAAGTTCTGATTTGATGATTATGAATTTCTTAAAGTGCTCTTTGTCATGCAAAGTCTTTATTTCTATCCATTTTGAAAGATTAAATTATAGGATATACTAATCTGGGTTGGGAATTGATTTCTTTTAAGGCTGAAACACTCCACTCCAAGTTTTCCTGGCCTTTAGTTTTGTGTTGAGAAGTTTGCTGTAATTCTATTAGGCTTACTTTTAAGTGTTTGATTGTTTTTCTGTAATGGCTTTTAAGATTCTGTCCTTGCATCGGACTTCTGGGATTTTGACTGATGTGTCATAGGAAAATTCTAATTGTGGCTATTTGGGGTTCTGTATGTTTTGCTTCAGGGGTTCCTCTGTCCATATATCTGGGTTCCTGCAACTGAGCTTTGTGTTGGATGTAGGCAGTGGTGTGAGGGTATGGTTAGCAGTTAATGTCAGCACTTTCAGATCCAGCCTTGTGGCTTTAAAAGCCACAAACAAGTAGCCTACCTTCATGGAGGACAGTTACCTTGTGACCCTTCCAGCTTGAACTTACACTTTTGATCCTGTTTATGTCTAGACTGTGCTCTCTCCTCTACTACCTTTTGTGGCTGTTTCCCACCAAGTCACTGTGGCAGAGTGATACCAGAAACTCTGAAGTATAGATTGTTCTGTAGTCAGTGTTAGGCAACTAATTCCTTCCCAAGATGACACTTTTTTTTTTTTTTTTTTTGAGGTAGAGCCATGCTATGTAGTTCAGGCTCACAATATAGCCCAGCTGGCCCTGCTTGAACTCTTGGTGATTCTCCTGATTAAAATACTCAAATATGGTAGGTGCTACACTGGATTTCTTCTCTAACTTTAGTCTGCTATGGGAAAAGTTACTTTTAGAGTAAAATCCCACACTGTTTTTGCGATGGGCTTCTAGGGCTTTTACTGCCAGCCCAGTCCATTGTTTCTCTCCGGATCTGCTGTCTGTCTCCTAGGTTATCTTGTGATTCCCTTTCCTGGACTAGTTATTTTCCTGTTTTGTTCTCTTTTCTGTGTTGTATTTTGTTTCTCCAGCTTCTCTGTAGTTCAGCTTCCTGTCATCTTCCTCCTAACTCCTGGAAATCTTCTTTCTTCACCAAGTTGTTTTCCAGGTGTCTGGATTCCAGGTCCTGGAGAGGCTATATTTTGTTTTCAGTCTCTTAAGTCACGATTTTTGATTTCTTGTTTTGTTACACACCTGTTCAGACTTTTCAGTGTAATAGGATCATTCCTGGTTGCTATATTGCAGTGAGAGAGCCACTGCCAGTTTTATTAGCATCTACAGAGTCAACCATATTATCAATCATGTAATTTAAAGCTTGTTTTTAATAAATTTGCCCCCTCTCCTTTTTAGTAACACAGACTGCGATATAGTACTGATAGCAAATGGGCTGGGGTCTAAAGTATGAGACAAGGAAAAAAAGGAAAGAATTAAAAAGTGAACAGCAGATCAAAGGAAGAAAAGAGACAGGACTTTGTTGATATTTTATATCTGGGAGATATTGATATTTTAAATCTGGGTTGGAGGAGTGGTGGGTTGGATTTTAATCTTGGTTAGAGAGTTTGAGAAGTTTTTTTGTGAAGAAAAAGAGAAAAAGGAGGGAAATATAGTTGCAGATGGAGGAAAGCTGTGAGATCAGAACCATCTAAATGCTGTAGAAAGTTTGAGTCCTCTGTAAACAATTTTGGTGAGAATTAACAACACAAAAGAAACACATAGTATCTAAGAGAGATACTATCTAAAGTGCTAATTCTTTTTCTCTTTTCCCTTTTGATATCAAAATACTTCCCATTTATTTAATATATATTTATGTAATATATTTATAATGTATATAATATAAATATATATATTATAAATAAGTCAGTTGAAAGAAGAGAAAGAAAAGAGGGAAAAAAAGAAAAGCCATGTAAATTGCAAAAATCAAAAGTAAAGCATTCTTCCATTTCTATTTGTACTATAGTCAGAATTTGACCATTTGCTCTTTCACTTTTTTTCAGAAGTGGAGGAATTTTGACTCATAAGTGTTATAGGGGACTGAGCTCCAATCTTTTGTGGTTGACTCTAGAAGGTTCCTGTCCTGTAATTGGTTTTCTTGCCTACTAGTGAGTGAAGGAGCTTATGAGTACAGATGGACACTGAGTCCACTTGTTCCTCTGTAGAAAGTTATCTGCTTGGTTTCCAGTTGAATTCATTTGAGCTTTGTTAGCTGGAGCATCTGATTTCAGTTGTGTCTGTTGTGGAAGGGCTCAGTGTGGTTGGTTCAGTACTCAGTTTTCCGCTGATTTCTGGGACCTTGATCTCTGTCCCCTTTCCTCCGTAATAAATCCCTATATCTGCTTATGTGTGTTCTTTTTATATTACTCTGGGTGAGCGACAGTACAACCCCATTTGCTACACATCTTTTCTCCCCAGCTCACCTCCTACCCCAACTGTCTGGAGTCTATGAACTCTGAAGTTCCTAGGGTTTGCAGAGCTCTACAGCTTCTGGCTGGTTGTGAGAGGATTGCTATCAGATACCAAATTTTATACTGTCTTGATGGTAGGCAGTATATCCCATGGGCACAGATCTTACCAGTATTTGGGAGACTGATGGAAGAGTGCCTACTTTGGCAGTGTTTGTCTTTCCTCCTGCCCTGGATCACACTGGTGGAAACTACTTCCCTTTCCTGTAACTCTCACTCACAGCTCTGTCAGTGTCTGGTTCTGAGCTTCTAACCAGTATCATGCCCTTATTTCTTTCCCAGGGGCCCACTGATCCTTATGCAGTCTTTACCCTACAAATGATTCTCTGGCATTTAGTTTCTCTAATGCCCTGTTCTACAAATATTGCAGCTGTTGGCCTCCCTCTCCCAGAGAAAAAGGTCTTACAATAGGCACTGGAGGAAGGTTGCTAGGCTACATGCTGCTAGCAGTGCCGCTGTGATATTCAACTCTTCCCTCAGTGGATTAGATCTTCTTTCAAGATGTTATGTTCACTGAACCCATTCTGTAAGCAGTGTTGGTATCAAGGAGCACCCAAGGTTTCCTTTCTAATTAGCTCTGATACTGGAATTCATCTGTATTTGGCACCTGTTTTCAAGTATCTGTGCTTCCTTGGGTACATCTTATGAGTATTCCATGAGTACCATTGCCTCTAGTTAGCCATATTGGAATCTCCCTAAATGGTAGCTCTTGAGTAGTACCTAGACTGCATGTAATGTCGGCTGTTAGTCATTTGTAATATCAGAATAAATACATTAATCCCTAAAATATTAATATTAGAATAAGTATATTAATTCCTAAATCCTGCTTTCTTCATAGTTATTCACCGTGGCAAGACTACAGTAGAAAACTGTGTGCTGCAGTGTGAAACCACAGGAGTCACAGTACGAACATCAGCAGAATTTCTAATGAAGAATTCAGATTTATATGGTGCCAAGGTATGGTAGTCTTTTTATCTTTAGGTGGAAGTAGTTATTGGGTTTAAGTAATAAGTGAGTACATAATCAGGATGTAGATGTATAATTTTATTCTTTTTAAAGATATTCATACATTTATCTTTACTAAGTCAGCCAAAATCTTTATGTAGTCATTAGGAGCACAAGAGCACTTGTAGCATTAAAAAAATAGATTAACAAGAGAAATAATAAATTCATAATTTCTCACAATTTCTTTTTTGTTTGTTTTGTTTTGTTTTTTGGTACTGGGAATCGAACTCAGGACTTTGCACTTAACAGGCAGGCGCTGACAATTTTAAGGAAAGTTTAGACCCTAGAAATTATAACTTTGTAAAAAAATTTTAACACCTGAAACTGAATCCCTTTTTAAAAATTTTTTAATATTGAGATAGTTGTATATTTATGTGCTCATGTTAGAAATAGTACAGACAGATCCTATATGTGTAGTTTTTGCCAGCTTTCTGTGGTAGTATCATCTTGTAAAACTATAGGACAATATAAAAAGATACTGACATTGGGTTAGTCCATGCATAGGTATTTCCATCACCCAAATGTGGTGGCCATTTTATAACCAAACCTACTTACCTATCCTGTCAGCCTCTCTCTTGACCGCTGGCAAGCTCTCATTTTCTATTTCTATTATTTTACCATTTCAAGGATGTTATAAATAGAATTACATAATCTTTTAGGATTGCCTTTTTTTCATGTAGCAAAATTCTCTGGAGTCTCAGCCAGATTGTTGTATGTGCCAGTACTTCATTCTTTTATTGTTTAGTTCAAGGTGTAGTTTGTTTATTCAGCTGTTGGACATCAGATTTTTTCCTAATTTTTATTACTGTGAACTTGATTAAGAATATTTACATAAATTAGTTAACCTCATATGTAATGGTGGTAAAGTACTGAATGTGTTTTTCCTAATATAAATAGCAAGGTTCAGAAGAGGTGGTGGTTCACGCCTGTAATCCCAGTACTCTGGAGACTGAGGCAGGAGGATCACTGTGAGTTTGAGGCCAGCCTGGGCTACTTACTGAGTTCAAAGTCAGCCTAAACCTACATGGTGAGACCCTGTCTCAAAAACAAACAAACAGGGCCGGCTGGGGGGTTTAACTCAGTGGTCTAAGTGCCTGCTTGGCAAACACAAAGTTGTGAGTTTGATTCTTGGTACCAAAAAAACCCCCCAAAATAGGCAAACACAAAATCAGGTGCAACACTCTTAGTCAGTCTGTGTATGAGTGTCTATGTTTGTATGTGTGTGCTTTTTGGAAGTTGTAAGTGATCTACAGTTTGTGGGAAATCAGTTAAATGAAATGTCACTAAAAATATCTGAGAAAAGTGATCTGTAAAATAGTTTATTTTTGTACTTTACATTTGTGCTGTGTTAAAGACTTCTGAGATTATAATAAATGTTTTATAGTCCTCCCTTTTAAAAACTTGTTGTCATTACCTCAAGTTGTTAACTTATAGGGGGCTGGTTTAGAAATATATCCTGGGAGTAAATGTATCCTGAATGACAGTGGGATCCATCACTGCAAGGAGGGGATCCTTATTAAGGTGAGCATTATCTGAAACATGTTTTTTGAAAAGGCTGAGGCTAGAGCATCACCAAGAGTTCAAGGGCATCCTGAGCTAATAGTGAATTCAAGGCCAGCCTAAACTAAATAGTGAGAGCCTGTAATAAGACACTCAAAATGTTAGAATGTTTTCAAGTAAAAAATGATGTTTTATTAAATTCTCATGTTGGGAGTCTGTTATTTTCTAGTTTTGAAAAAAATTAATAATTCAGTAACTGGCCGTTGAAAGTCTCTTAATAGGAATGTTTCACTGTTTTTAGAAATGACAAGAGTGGTGTATCATTAAGAGTACCTCCAATGTATTAATAAGCATTACTTTTCTATTTATTGTTAGAATAGTGTAAAAATGATTTTTAAAGCAAGCAATGTTGAATATGACAGTTCCTTAAGATACATGTTTTCAATGTTGCAGGATTTCTTAGATGAGCATTATGATATTCCCAAAATATCCATGGTAAATAATGTCATACATAATAATGAAGGTTATGGTATTGTTTTGGTGAAACCTACAATTTTCTCTGATCTGAAAGAAAATGATCAAGATAAAACTGAAGGTATGCTCAATTTAGTATTTTTTAATATTAAAAACCTATTCTAATTTACTTTTATTTTGGCATTAAATTCTGATTAGGACCTGTCTGTCCTCCTTAAGAATATTACTGGAATGTGGTTGGGCATGGAGATAAGCATGATAAAGGCATAATGTTACAGAATCCTGGAATGAAAGACATTTTCAAGGTCAACAAGTTCAAGTGTTAAAAAATCTTGGTGATGTGGTTCTGCGGACCTATAGTTTGCTTTTTACCAGGCTTGGTTTTCTATAAGTGCATAGAATTTGGATTGGTGTTTATTAACAATGGTGGCTCCTGCTAACATTTGTTAAGGATAGAGGCAGTGAAATGAATTTGCCAGGTTAAGAACTATATTTACAATAAGGATTCCTGGAGTTTTGACCCTATTTCTCATTGGTAGAAATGTCTCCCTGTTGCCTGCCTTTCTTGGCAGCAAAGGTGAGCTAGTTCAGTAGATACTATTAAATTTCAAACTTTGATGCAGATCATTACATTAGTCATAGAAGAGTGAACCTTGATGTGGACATATAAAGTTTAAAGCAATTTATAAAGGTTAGTCCTTGTCATCTTTCAGGGTGTGCTCCATTTTATTTGTAAAAATTTTATCTCATAGGTCTTGTAGCATGGAATGAAGATTTCAGGTAGACAGGACTCAAGTGGAAGAATCTTTCAAATTCATTCATTGGCAAAATCTATGCCTTTACGTTATGGGACTGAGGTTTCCACTTTCTTGTTAGTTGGGGATCATGGTCAGCTGTGTGCCGTAGAAGCCTGTCTACTTCAGCAACAGTCAGTCTCCTTTATGATGAATCTCTTGTGATTTCTCCAGTCAGCTGGAGAAAATTAAGAACTTAATCACTGCAAAATTAGAATGTAACATGCTTTTACCATTTAACAGTAATGGAAGTACTTTCATTACTTTCATTCCTTACTTAGGAATCTTAGGTCCCACTTAGAATTGGCTGTTAGATTGAGAGTTTATTTAAGTAAAGTAGCCCCTACTACAGAATTTAGTAGATAATAAATACTTAAAAAAAGTCTGTTGAGGAATAAGAATTCTAAAACAAAGGTAAACATTGAGACCCTTTGGCCAGAATTTTAATCAGCAGGAATCCTTGACAGAAAATTTCAAACCTGTAATAAACGGTGTAGAAATATGTTTTTGTTTGGTAAGCCTGTATATTTAACTATATTTGTTATGCTTTGTTTCTCTAGAAAGTGAAGCAGTTAAGACCCAAACAAGTGGAGAGGCAGATGCAGCTGGAAGAATGGATCTAGAGGAGCTGATTCACTGTGCAACTGACAAGACAGAGATTTATGAGAGAGCTGCTGATCTTTCTAAACAAGTTGAGGGAAATTGTGAAATTATAAATGAACTAGTTGTTGCCTCCACCCTAAAAGGCCACGTGAAGAAGAAACGGTTGAGTGAACTGGGGATCACACAAGCTGATGACAACTTAATGTCACAGGAAATGTTTGTTGCATTTGTGGGAAACCAGTTTAAGTGGAATGGGAAAGGGAGTTTTGGCACATTTCTTTTCTGACCACAGTGATGTAAATAGCTAACAAAATGTTCAGTTTTGCACATGCTGCTCATATAGTTTGCTTTATGTCATATTTGATATACGTGGTTGAGCTTGAGTGAAATGTAGATTTATTTTTACCTGCAAGTATTGCACGTAAAGCATTCTTTATAGCAAAGATCATATATGTAAAATAGAAAACAATTGGAGATTTTTGATCTAGAATATATTTCTTAATATATATATATATCTCATATGAAGCCTGTTAATAACTTTCTAGTGTAAATATACTTTACCCCCAGAACTTAAGAGTAATTTTGTCATCAAGGTGCAGAAGCATGGGTCTGTCAGATCATATTTATTCTTCAGAATGTTTCTATTGATTAAAAATTAATTTTTATGAATTTTATTATGTGAAATAATGAGTACTTGGTAGGAAAATAATCACAAAAGCACAGTATTGAATTTTTAATATTGAATGTTTATAAAACATCAATATTTTTAACATCAACTTGTGGTTTACAAAATCTTAAAAAAAACCAATTTCTTATATGAATTATAATAACACCAATAGCACTTTACAAAACAAAATCTTGCCTTCAGTTATCACACCTGAGGCAGTCTGTACACATGACAATTGCACATTTGATACACACGTATTACTTACACTGACAGCACATGTGTTTTGCTTTCCTAGGCTTTTTATAGGATATTCTTGCTGGTCTTGTTTTGTCAGGAGGTTCTTACATTTTAAGTATATAGATAACAAGAACACAAAATATCAATAAAGTTAAATTCTTAATATGTGTTGTGCCTTTAGAATAGTCAACATTTTCATTAGCTGTGTACTTGCTTAGAAAACTTAAAAGATAACATCAAAAATAAATTTCTATATGAACTGTAATGAAATACAAATACACTGAGGCAGGAAAATTGCTGAGTTCAAGGCCAGCTTGGGATACAAAATAAGGTAAAGGCCAGTCTAAACTGCACATGAAACCCTGTCTACAAAAAAAAAAAAAAAATAGACTGCTACAACAAAATTAAGCTTTGCTTCAACTGGCACACTCAAAGCAGTTTTCACACACGACAACTGTATGCTGCATGTTCTCGATTTCACTGATCGCATGTGTGCCTACATATCCTTATGTGGCGGTCTTATCTCTTTCTTGTATGTCAGAAGCGTTCTACTATTTGTACAACATATACTTAAGGAAATAAGATATCAATAAAATCAAATATGTAATGAGAACTCAGATCAACATTTTCTTTTTTTTAAAAAATTATTTGAAGGTAGTATACAACAGAACAAGACAGAGCAAAGACAATTGAGACAGTGCAGTGAAATTGGTACAGAACATCACAGAAGGTTACCTGGATAACAATAATAGTATATCTTGTTATCTTCACAGTAGTTGTCCTTTCAATCCGGTATAGCAAAATCAAACCAAATACAGAACGTTATAGAACTTACCAAAACAGAATATTGAATAGAGCAATACAATTAATCAGAACATAGCAAAACAGTGAAAACAGTATTTGCCTTCAAAGAGAAGGTAGAAAGAAATCCCCCCATATTTGCTATATTGTATATGGTCATCCTCCCAAGAGATGCTCAGACCTCTGGCTCCCATTTGCTAATGGGGGTGGGATGGGGGTACATATGGGATGTTTGATTCTCAGCCTGCCTATCAGGAAGACAAGCTGGTTCTCTCCCTGGGGAGCCAGCTGCTTGCTTGACAGCTGCTTACTAGGGAGGTGAGTGGGTTGCTTTCTTTCCCAGTGCCCTAAGTTCCAACATGGTGGGATCTCGGGAGATGCTGTCTGGATTTCTCCCTGGGTCGCCCGCTGCTTGCTCCAGCCATGGCTGCTTACCAGGGAGGTGGGTTGTTTTCTTTCCCAGCCGAGATCAACATTTTCTTACCAGCTGTTTACTTGCTTACAAAACCTAAACGATAACATCAGAAGTAAGTTCCTATATGAACTAGCAGTAGAAATCTACTACTGAATAAGAAGCTTTGCTTCAACCGTCGCACCCAAGACAGAAATAAGCTTTGCTTCAACTGTCACACCCAAGATAGTCTTCACATGTGACAACTGCATGTTCCATACACAAGTATTGATTATACCGAGGAGGTATGTTTTGTTTTCTTGTCCTTTATTGTAACATGCAGTTGACACCTTTTTTGTCTTTTTGTTGTAGCAGGTTTTTGTGATACAGCTCCTGACAGTTCACCTGTCAGCTCACCAGTGTGCTCCACAATGTTTTTGCATGGTTCTCTGAACAAAAACATTTTCTTTCTCCTCTACTGTAAATGATCTGAGTTTCAGTCCCAATCCTCAGAAAATTTCTCTGTGATATTTTATATGTGTTATTTTCTTTGTAAGCTATCAAAGTATTTATGCCACACATGTTTAGGATTGAATAAAACAACCATTAGCCAATACTTTGTTTCAAGTAATATCATAATTGCATAACTCATCAACAGCATCTGTTCCATCTTTAGTTTTGCTGTAGAAAGTTTCCATCTCATGCTTCTGTTTTGCTGAGATTTCCCTATCAATATTTCCCCATTGTGGTGAAGTGTTGACATCAGCAGTACCAGTTTTTCTTCGCCAAACATGAGGCCAATATTCTGTTTTTCTGAAACTCAAAGATGATACCATACCAAAACTATGATACCATAGTTTTGAAATTGGCAGTATTTCATTTGGAATTTCTGCTGTATAGGGGTTTGCCAGGAAAATGGTTACATATAGAACACATCATTTATAGTATTATTTATAATGGTCACCCAAGGAATTAAGTAAAAAGAAAGTGCAGGAAATCTGTCCACATGCTGAAGACCTAAAGAACCCAGCCAAGGGCCTGGATCCCATGGCAATGATCTGCATGAGTTAACTTGAAAACCTAGAGCCTATGATAGTGCCTCCTACAAGTCCAACTGGAGGCCTATAGCCCACAATAATGACTCGTGCAAGTCTGTCTCATGGGTCCACGCTGGAAAGTCCCCAAGTTTAATGGTGGAAGCTAGAAAGTCTGTGCCATCAGGATGAAGGATCTGTGCCAGTAGTTTGAGGGTTCTACACTGGAGCCGGGAAGCAACACTCAAAATAACCAGGAAGTACTCAAGAAGTACCACAGCCATCCTCAGCAATGTCCCAAGCTCCTCTGATGTGAGAATAGCCATGTTTGTATTAGGAAGTCAGTGTGACAAGCTTCTGGAAAACACATTTCCCCTCCAGAGCCAGGAAGTGATGTTCAGTGTAAGGACCAGAGCTCTCTCAAAGTGAACCAAAAATGTACTATTATAGTTCAGTATTCATCACTGGAGTGTCTTGATTATTGGCTTCATCAAGTACAGAACATTGAAACAAAACCTTATTCTCTAGAATCACAGTTATACATAGGCTTTTGAGAAACCCTTTTCTCAAAGGGGGAAAAAAGAGGAGTATTGATTTCATTAGAGGTATAATTATGGGACAAATATTCTACAGAATCACAAATGTAAATAGAAGTGTGTTGTGTGCTTGATTTCTGTATTTACATTTCTTTTGTGGATTTTGATTAGGAAGTGTCTTAATGATTATAAGTTTATTGAGACAACCATAAAGGAATTGGCTCCAGGCACTACTTTAAATCAAGTCCCAAGCAAGAAAAAGATGGTGGAACGATAGTCACCTAGATAACTTGAACTGAGCCACAAGTGGCAATTCCTGCCTTTTCAGCTCAGACAAATTTTGCTGCATCACAGGTTGGAATTTCAGCCTATAAGGGAGTAGACCCATTTTTTTCCTGTCTCCCTTGCAGTTGGTGCTAAAAAAAAAAAAATCAGATGGGTGGGGGAATAAATGGAGGGTTTCCAACACATCTACCCAATTACTGAACATTGAATCCCCAATAGTCCAAGACAAAGTATAATCACTCCGGTCATCAGTTCACAGCATAAAGGAAAGAGAAAGAACAAATCTACTTGTTTTCATTGCAGGGATAAGGACATTTTGCCAAAAGTATTCTGCTGCACCTATAGGGACAACACAGCCACTGCCTGTCTCGTCAACAAAACCTTCAACTATCTGTACAAAGTATAAACAATAATATCATTGGGCCACTCGATGTAAATTCAAAACTAATGTGAAAGGCCTGTCTGTTCCAGAAGACTTCTAGTGGGCCCTGCAACAGCACTGTTAAAATAGTAGGAGTGCTACAACTCAGACAGCTTTCTTAAGATGGCACAGCCCTGCTTGGCGTGACAGACTTCTAGTGTTTGGGGAATAATGTGGTCTTGAATTGTGGTTTGCTGATTTTTGTTTACAAAATACTATCACAAAAGACAATTTGATATAATCAATATAACAATAACAAAACTTTAAAACTTCTAAAAATTCAATATTTGGCTTTCATGAGTTGGTAATAGGCTGGCTCCAGCATATCACTATCTCACTATGGCTTTGTAGTAAGTCTTACTAACTAGTAGAATAAATTCTCAAACTCCCTCATTGTTTTTCAAAATTGTTTACTTCTGGAGTACATGTTTCAATTTTGAATCAGTGTAACTCTACTTTTTTTTAAAGGTCTTCTTTGCTCTCTTATATCAAAGTTTAGTTTTCAATACACTGACACTACATAGCTTGCTAAATTTCCTGAGTTTGTTTCCAGAAAAAAAATTGTAAATTTACATACTTGGGCTGAAATGTGAAAACAGTTTAGAGCAAAGCTAGGGAAAAAACAAATCAAGACAAATCTATCTCGGCCTCTACAGATTTTAAAGGGTTATTTAACAGGGAGAAACTGATGCTTTCTGCTCCTCTCACACTACTCACAGGCTCCCAGGCAAGGGAGGGACCAAAGAGTTCCACTGGGCCTAGAGTTTGGCCCAGACAAGAGAGATGAAAAAATAATGCTGCTTGTTTCAGTTGCAAACCTGGAAATTTCCATAACCTGGACATCAGGTTATGGTTCAGTCTACTAAAAATGCAGTTCAAATCACCTCAGATTCTCATATTGCTCAATTGGTTATTATTCTTTTGACATAATTACAACAGCTATAAATAAAAAAGGGGATCCATGGGTTTTGGGTCACTAATCAGGTTCACCCCGAGATAAATTGATAACTGAAGGAAAAACATTTAAAGGGCTTTTAGACACAGGAACAAATGCTTCCGTTATTGCTCAATGCCATTGGCCTGATATGGCATCTGGATGTGGCAACTACATATCTGTAGGGTACAGAGAATGTTTCTCACCTTAGTAGAAGTGCTACATTGTTTAACCTGGAGAGATACAAAAAGTGCCTTTGCTGCCACATGCAATCCACTTCCTTTTGAGTTGCAAATTTATGATCAATTTAGAACTGTAGCCACAAAAGCATGAGGGCACTTCCTTCAATGAGTGAGATATCCTTAGATTTGATTTCTAGCTAGCAGGTTCTAAAACCATTTCAGGATTTTGCCTTTAAGAATACATATAAATGGTGTAAGGGTTGACGAACTTCCCTGTGGCAGCCTGGCTTGGCTTGGCTCTGTGAGGAAGGACCTGTGCTGCAGAGTTGGTGTTTGCTTGCTACTTCAGCAGTGAAAGGTGGATGAAGGAACCAAAGCCCAAAAGGTCCTGCCTCCCGTGTGCAGCACAGAAAACTCCACCAGGGCCTGTCAAGCCTTTTAGTGGCCAGCCCACAGGTGTTGGCACTACAACACTCGGCCCTAGGCCCAGAAGGTAGTATGTGGCTCTGGCACATCCATTTTTTTTTCATTGTCTGTGCATATGCTTTATACCTGTGCAGACACTTTATGCTGGCCTGTGCTCAGATTCCCAATAGTAGCAGGGCCTCCAGTCCAGAGCAGGAGCACAACCTGCATGCCCAGAACCTGGGCTCAACTAGCAATGACATTGGCCCCACATACACACATCCCACGGTGACCCAGGATTTCAGTGCCATCCCACAAGCCCCAGGCTGCCTGCACAACAGCCAGCCAAGCCCACTGCCTTGAGGTGGAAAGATGATGCTGTTCAAGACAGGAACAATAAATGCAAGCAGGAGCTCTGGACAACCCAGAAGCAACCAGAAGTGGCCAGAAGCCACCAGAAAGAGGCCAAAAAGCAGCCAGAAAGAGGCCCAAAGTGACCAGAAGTGGCCAGAAGCCAAAAGTGATCAGAAGTGGCCCAAAAGAGGCCTAATGTGGCCAGAAGCAGCCAGAAAGAAGCCAAAAGCAGCAAAAAAGAGGCTAGGGGTGGCCAGAAACAGCCAGGAG